CATTCGACTATTAGCACTGTTGAGTACACGTAGAAGAAAGACAAGAAGGCCACAGGAGAGATAGAGGGAGTGAGAGGATGTAACTTAAAGCAGTAACCCATCGCGCCCACTTCAGGGGAAGGCCGCACCCGTGAACCAGGACCAAAACTGAGCCAAAATTGGACTTGACCTCTGCGAGGCTGAGGTGAAAAGTCTGAGGTGAAAACACTGCATTACTCACCCCTTATCTGCTCCAAACTTCCGTAACCAGGTCAGTTTTTTCTGCCGATTTCTCCTAACAGGGCAGAATGGGCTGAAAACCGATCCTCAGCGGTTGTTGGCCCCCTTGTACACGAATGCCACGTCCGCTTGGCCGAGACCACTTACTGTCTGCGCTACACAAGCCCAGCCAAAATGGGCACGTGGTGCCGTCTGCTGTACTAATGCAGGTGCCAGGCTGTTTTGGGTCAAGCGGATGTGATATTCGTTTTCAGGAGATCGAGCTACCTCTGACAAATTTCCAGCTAATCTGCCCCACGTCGAAAAAAGTCGGTTGAAAAACTGGCCTGATTTCGGAAGATTGGGGCAGTAAAGGGCAAATAGTGCCGAGAACTTTTTCCAACGGCTTACCATTTCGATGTTATTTTCTGCTTGAAGACTGACAATCCACCGTATATTCGCTGCTGAGTAGTATTAGCATATGGCAATAGAGTTATGGTGGAACCCTGACCTTTGGAGATGATGACCGCATCGGATTTAGTGAGGTTTGACATGTGGGAGCCCCGCGAGCATACTGGTCCAAACAAAGTTCTCACCAGAGTTATTAAATCTTTTTCAACTGCATAACTGCGCCAAGTGGGTGCTAAGGTTAATGCAATCTTTTTTTTCTCTGTGGATGCCGAGGCGTACAGGTGGAGGGCTGGATTGGGCGCGGCGCCAACACGTCATCCACCGATTGTCAAAGTGACCAAGCGACAATAATTGGTGGAAAACGGGATGGTGCCGTGCCAAACATAGCTTTCCTGACACGCTCCAGCATCTGCAGCTGAGAGAACTATATCTTAAACCTAACAGCCTTTTTTGCCTCTTTGCTGAAATTCTGGTTACGAAAACGAGTAACTTCATGCAATACCATTTTTTGAGGGATAGAAATTTCTGAGGACTAAAAATTCAGCGATGCTAATACATTTTGAAAGCGATAAGATAGAGGAAGTTAGCTTCTACGAACTCGCCAGACATCCGAACAGGGAGAGATCGAGATGAACATGTGAGGAAGAGGAGGTAAGAATAAAAATCTCATTCGTTGTGCATAGTCTTTGGGAGAGAGGGCGATACTGGGGCTTCAAAGTAGTCCTTGTGCAAAGGCAGAAATGGGAACAACGCCATCTGGATGAGATTAAGTTACTTGGGATTTCATACACACCGAAGCTTCTTCAATCTTTTGGCCTAAGCAAGCCTTTATTCCATTACGACTACTCTAGTTGTGCAGAAGGAATCTTTTCATCTCTTTTCCTATCACCCAAGATTATGAGCTCCTCAATTAATATTATGCTATTTAAAAAGTTCTATTTTGAGCTTTAACTAGCTAATGAGTACCGCCAAATACTGAGTGT